GCCTTCCCCCTCCGGCGGATGCCCGGCGGGACGGGAGCCTGCAGGGAGCGGGAGCGGGAGCGACCTCGGCGCGGGCGAGAGCGGGACCAGGCGCCTTCCGACCTGCTGGCTCCGTGACCTTGGCACGGCGCTCCGTGGCACCGGCTCACCCTCCCTTTCGAAGACCATCTTGGAAACTTCTGGAATGCAGAGATGGAGCGGAGTCGGTGGAGTGTGGCCCCGCGTAAACCACCCCGGACGGCCGTGATTTCCATTTTCTGGGACGTGTAGCATGAGTCCAGAGGTTGTGCGACCTCCCCGGGGACACACAGCGATCCCTCGAGAGCCCCGAAACCGGAGTCCAGTTGCCATGACACTGCTGCATCACCGTTGTGCTCTGGGTGAGCTCTTAGCTCGGTGACACCCAGCGCGCACCACCCGCCTCTTGTGTTACAACGCTCATGAGATTTCGGTCCAGAATATGCAAAATGCCACGAAAAAAATCCATGTTCGAGTGCCATCGTATCAGCCTGGACACAGTCATTTGGAAGAACGTACTAGGCTATGGGGTGAGGGAGCACATGTGACTTAGTCTATAAGGGTTGCAGTATATATATATTTTTCACCTAGAATTTAAAAAAAAATTTTATTTATGCATTTATTTATCTTTGAGTCAGAGTCCTACTCTGTCACCTAGACTGGAGTGCAGTGGCACTCTCAAGGCCACCGTAGCCTCAACCTTCTGGGCTCAGGCCATCCTTCCTTCTCAGCCTTCCAAGTAGCTGGAACTATAGGCATGTGCTACCATGCCCGGCTAAATTTTTTTTTTTTTTTTTTAGAATTAGAGTCTCACTCTCATCACCCAGGCTGGAACGCAGTGGCATGCTCATGGCCATCGCAGCCTCCACCTGCTGGGCTAAGGTGATCCTTCTGCCTCAACCTTCCAAGTAGCTGAAACTACAGACGCACACCACCATGCCCTGCTAGTTTTTTGTGGTTTATTGTAGAGTCGAGGGCTCGCCAAGTTGCCCAGATTGGTCTCGAACCTTTGGGCTCAGGCCATCTTTTTGCCTCGGCCTGCCAAAGTGCAGATTACAGGCGTGAGCCACCACACCCAGCTGAATATTTCTAATATTGAGTCGGGATCTCATTCTGTTGCTCAGGCTGGAGCGCAGTGGCACAATCACGGCTCACTGCAGCTTCGATCTCCTGAGCTCAGGCAATCCTCCCATCTTGGCCTCCTGAGTAGCTGGGTTTAAAGCCGTGTGCCACCACTCCCAGCTAATTTTCTTTTTTCTTTTTTGGAGAGATGAAGAATTGCTGTGTTGCTTAGGCTGGTCTCTAACTCCTGGGTTCAAGCAGTCCTCTCGCCTTGGCCTCCCAAACTGCTGGGATTACAGTCATTGAGCCACCAGCCCCCCCACCAACATTTTCATTTGTTGAAATGGTGATGCTGCCTATAATCGACATCAATGTGAAGTTCAGAAATATCAAGACCGTGAAAGATGGCCCTTCTGATATTCAGTCTGTGTCCTTAACAGCAGAACATAAACGGGTTTTGTCAGTCTCACTCTATTGCCCAGGCTGGAGTGCAGTGGCACATTCCCGGCCACCGCAGCCTCGACCTGCTGGGCTCCGGCGATCCTCCCGCCTC